TTAGTTGGGACCCTTGAATGACAGTGGGGAGCCCAGCACAGTTTTTATAATGAAACTCCAAAATATTAGCTGTGGGCTCATTCTGGCCATCTGGCAGCTACAATATCTTACTGAGAGATTGCATGTTTCTTTAATAAAACACTGGAGTTTACAACATTTCCCATAAATGGTCCTGACAGATTCTTGGATTTCAAATTTTCACACAGCAGCATTTCATCGGAATATGTTTTAGAGTCTTGACATTTAACAGTGAATTTTCACTTTAATATGGGGGCAGATGTTCTTAATCTCTATCATAAATTCAGCTGAACACACTTTACATTATGATTAACTCAAATATCTTTCAACCGCTAGGAATATGAGTACACGAAAGAGATGGATTGCTTTCAATAAAATGAGTGTTTGTGCCTGCAGAAATTTCTATTTTCATCTCTTGACAGGAGACTTAATCTAAAACAGTAATTTCCAGCAAATTCTAAGTGCCTGCTTTGACTACATCATTGTACAAGGAGTATACTGTCAATGATGAAAATGTATACTTAGTTGTAGACATCAGGAGCAAAACTTTCTGTTTCTGAAAATAAAATATATTTTTAAAACTAGTCAATCGTGACAGCGGATTTCAGCATTCATTGGCAACTGCTACTCCAAACCGTGCAGTCCTACTTCTCCATTAAAGCTCTGGCCTCTGTAATTATTAACTAGAGTTTTTTAAACAGCAGGAGAAACTGATGAAACAGGAAATAGCAGCAGAAAGGAAATACATATGCCTTCCTGACTAAATCTCTCAGTTAGATTAGCCAATGCAGTTCTAGGCTGCATTAACAGAGGGATAGAATCAAGATCACGTGAAGTGTTAATACCACTTTACAATGCCTTGGTAAGGCCACACTTGGAATACTGCATCCAGTTTTGGTCACCATGATGTAAAAAAGATGTTGAGACTCTAGAAAATTGTGCAGAGAAAAGCAACAAAGATGATCAGGGGAACGGGAGGCTAAATATAAAGAACAGTTGCTGGAATTGGATATGTCTAGTTTAATGAAAAGAAGGACTAAGGGTGACATGATAGCAGTGTTCCAATATCTCAGGGGTTGCCACAAAGAAGAGGGAGTCAAGCTATTCTCCAAAGCACCTGAAGGCAGGACAAGAAGCAATGGATGGAAACTAATCAAGGAGAGAAGCAACCTAGAACTAAGGAGAAATTTCCTGACTGTTAGAACAATTAATCAATGGAACAACTTGCCTCCAGAAGCTGTGAGTGCTCCAACGCTGGAAGTTTTTACGAAGAGATTGAACAACTATTTGTCTGAAATGGTATAGGGTCTCCTGCCTGAGCAGGGGATTGGCCTAGAAGACCTCCAAGGTCCATTCCAACTCTCTTATTCTGTTATTCTCTACTGCAATGCATTCTACACGGATAACACTTGAGGAGTATTTGGAAGCTACAATTGGTACAGAATATAATGGTGTGGACAGTTCTGGAGGTCTGTCAAGTGATCCATGTTACATCATTGTTGTGGGAGCTATACTGGTTTCCAGTTTGCTCCTGGATCCAATCAAGGTGTTGGTTATTACCTATAAAGGTCTTTCTGGCATGAGTCCAAAATATATAAAGAGCCATCTCACCCTAATGGGATTGGCCAGTCCCATTTGCTCCAATTGAAGAGGCCTATTTTGAATCCTGTCTGCCAAAGAATTTCAACTGGTGTGGTCCAGAAGAAGAGCCTTTTCTGCTATGGCCGTCGCCCTTTGAAATATTCTCCCCACACTGCTGGCCTTCTGGCGGCTTTGCCAATTGACCTTGGGCCCTGATAGTATTGAATCCATCTTTCAGGTTTGGATGTCTTCTGAGCAAAGATTTCAACTCAAAAAGCCCAAAAGACAAAATGAGAAATATAAGATTGTTTCGGGCTCTGCAGAAAATGTGAAACGTGAAAACCTTGCTGGAATTAGAAGGAAAAGCCAAACAAAGCCAAACAATTTATTGCTTGGAAGAAGAGGGAGAGATGCTAATTCTCTCTCTCTTCACTTCTGTCTTGTTTCTTTTAAAGCTTGATGGATTTTTTTTTTTAGTTATCTCTGTCCATGAAATGCTGAAACCAGGGTTCTTTTGTCCATTGCTTCTAAACTTATAATAAATTATTCATGCATATCTTGGTTCTAAAGCAGATCTCAAGTTCTATATCATTTATAATGCTATAAAACCTGGTGTGAAAATATCTGCAGAGCTTCTGTAATTAAGATAGAAAAAAGAAATATAGATGGTATTTATAGAAACTGTACGTGAGCACTTTTATGAGAATGACAGTTTCAGCATATTCTATATTATGTGCATAAGGATGTACTGTAAGTAGTCTTTTGAAGGTATTCTAATGGTCTGTTCTCTGAATATATTAGTTATGTACTGTTGTGCAATTTACTTCAGTTACTTCAGAATGGCTCCTGGTTCATTAAAGGAGATGAAACTCCCCTCATAAAATTAAATATGCCTACTATTCTCAGACAATACTTCCTGTATTGCCTGAAAATTTATATACTTATAACTTACACTAATAACTTATTACATTTCTGTTAATATGTACATTAGTTTCATCATCATCATCATCACCATCATCATTTTTTCAAGTGACTCACAGGTGTCTTAAAGTTAAGGAACGACCATTTATATGAGCCAATGTTCATGTCTTACAACAGATGTAAAATCCTGCTTTTAAATCACAAGAAAAATCGATTAACCTTTTTTTTAAATTTACTTTGTTGAAAAGAACTTTAAAGCATTAATTATTTAAGCATTCTGCAAGTTAAATTTTTGGGAGGTTGGGAAGGAGATGGGGATACATTTCCTTTGATTTGGAATTCAATCATAAAAGGAAAGAGATAGCAGAGCAACAGTTGGTGGCCATTTTTTTTTAACTTTGGCATTGGCCATTTGCAGAGTGAGCAAGCTGGCATTATGGGAACCCACAACTCATGGGTGGAGACCCTCATCCAGTGCCCCAAAGCTTCAACAAAGGATAGATAGGCAAAGCTATTAAAAATATGGATCTGTCTTATAACTATATTTATAGTAAAATTTCAGTTTAATAGTTTGTTCAGGGGTTAAAGGGATTATTGAATCCAAATTTATATTAATTTCATCAATTGCCTTCATTTGCATCATGACATTATGATGCAAGTAATATAATTTGCAAGTATCTAACATGTCATAATGTCATGATGTAAATAGAGGAAACTGACAACTAACATAAAGTAGCAGCTGGAGTATTCTGGATGCAATACACCTCATTATTTCAAGGTGCTGACTGGATGAAAAATTGTTCAGTTTTATCTGTAATCTCTAAATGGTGGACTGCTAAGTCAAGGTTTCACCGCATTGAAATATAGCATATAAGCTTCAGGTTATGCAATGACATTTTTTTTTTGAAAAAGTGGTGAAGAATGTATACATTTAAAAATATGCAGAATATCTTTGACTTAACAACATTTGAAGTATTTTGCAACCAAAGATCAATGGTGCAGTCTAATTTTCCAACTAGTATTCCTAAAATAATGCATAAAAAGTGTTCAGAATTTTAAAAAGCCCCGAGTTTAGTCAGTAAGGCAAAGTGCATCCTCTTGTGATTTCTTAATTGTACCTTTTCAAATGCCAAGCAGCTTTTTTTTACTAACGAAGTTACAGTTTGATATTGCTTATTATTAGCTATGCTTCATTCATACCAATCTGACGTTTTGGAACTTAATATGAAATAATAAGAACTGGTGTATTGCAAATTTTCATTTTGTGGCAGATAATTTTGGAAGGGAATACTTTTCAAAAGTATTGGAAGTATTTGGTTCCCTCATAGCTTGAGGGAAAATTCTTTTTAAAAAAAATAATAATTCAATTGTTCAAAATAGATTTTCAAAGCGACCCATTCTAATATTGAACTTCTAAGCAATCTTCATTTTAGCTGTTTATAGTCATAGCAGTTGGCATTATCATCTTTCTTCTTCTTCTTCTTCATCATCATCATCATCATCATCATCAAATCTGTATAAAGGAATTAAGCTCATTAGTCAGAAAAATAATAATAAAAAGTAAAGATATATCAGTAGTGAGAAAGATTCTAAGATGGTGGCCACAGAGGAAGCTTGGTTACATCGTGGGAAGAGAAGTTGCTATTAAAGTAAGTTATCTTAAACTAAGACAAAACAGTAGAAGAAAGATAAAGAGGGAAAGATTAGTCAGAAAAATAAAAAAGACTGAAGAAGAGAAAAAGCAAAGAGGGATCTGCAGAGCACAGAGGAGAATCGGCTGTGGGGCGGAGAGGAAAGCCGACTGAGGGCAGCGCAATGACTGGCAGAGAAGAGAAACAGGAGAGCTGGTGAGATAGTGGAGAAGGAAGGAGAGCTAGCCAGGTAGAAAACAGGAGAGCTTACTGTGAATCATCCAGGCAGCCCTGTTTGCTAAAGGAAGCAGAACACCGGTGCGACTGACCAGCAAACGGGAGCCATGTGGCCGCAGAACTGTTGGTGGGAGTGGTGGAATGCTGCAGCACAGTAGACCAGGACCTACAGATGGCAGCAGACCAAGTGCTATGGATGGTGGTAGACCAGGGCCTACAGATGGCAGCAGATCATGTGCTACAGATGGTGGTATACCAGGGCCTATAGATAGAAGCAGACCAAGTGCTATGGATAGCAGCAGACCAGGGCCTGCAGATGGCAAAAACCAAAAAGAGGGATTTTCAAACAACAAACTCATAGAACAGGTGACTGATACTATTGTGGTATGCAATACATGTTCCATGTATGTGCTTATGCCCAAAGAACATGCAAACTATACATGCATTAGATGTAAACTATGTAAACTAGTGGAGGAAAAAGTAAGGAACTTAGAGGCAATTCTAGCCAAACCCCAATCTACGAAAGAAAGCTCCACCCACACCAAAACAATTAATGAACAAATAACTCCCAGAGGATTTGACCCTACTGATAAACCCTTGGAGGAAGACAAGTGGATGTATGTCACACATAGAAGGAAACACAATACTCAAAGAAGCAGCAAATAACTAACAAACCCCTTCTGCCCAATCCAACCCAACCAGAAACAGCCCCACTAAAACTGAGCAATCAATTTCTCCCCTTAGATGGAAGCATGCAGATCCACAACCTCCCCCTCAAAGAAAACATGCAGATGCCTAGCAAAGGAACAACTTCAAATATCCCTTAAAAAACCACATCAGCAAACAAACCAGAAATAAACAGAAAAGCACCCCAGATTGCATCTCCCAAAAAGGAAGGTGAGTGTTGGTAATAGGAGATTCTATCCTCAAAGGAATGGAATCATCCATCTGTAGACCGGATATACAATCTAGGGAGGTATGTTGTCTCCCCGGAACAAAAATCAAAGATGTGGTTGAGAACCTAACCAAAATAATTAGGCCTACTGATTACTAGTTCCTCCTCCTCCACATTGGGACAAATGACCACAAAGAACCTGAGCACAACAGTGAGAGATTACAAACAACTAGGCAATAAAGTTAACAAGCTAGGAGCACAAGTAGTATTCTCATCCATACTCCAAACAAAGGCCAACACCCATTGAGAGAAAAAATAATTCTAGAAATAAACCATTGGCTAAAGGGTTGGTGTCACCAAGAAAACTTTGGTTTCCTGGATCATGGTCTGCATTTCCTATGTGAAGGACTCCTGGCAAGGGATGGGCTGCACCTCACAAAAACAGGCAAAAATGTATTCGGAAAAAGACTGGCCCAATTCATCAGGAGGGCTTTAAACTAAAATTGAGGGGGAAGGACGACCAATCTTTAGAATTTCTAGAACCCAAAACCAATCATAAATCCCAAGAAAGCAAATCAAACAATGAGGTAAAACAACAATCAGGAGATGCAGGAAACATGCCCACGAACAGGAATAAAAGTATTAAATGCTTATATACAAATGCTCAAAGCTTGGGGAACAAACAGAGTGAACTAGAAGCAATAGTACACAAAATCGTGGGCGCTCCATCACTGGAGATTTTTAAAAAGAGACTAGACAGTCACTTGTCTGAGATGGTATAGGTTCTCCTGCTTGAGCAGGGGGCTGGACTAGAAGACCTCCAAGGTCCCTTCCAGCTCTATTCTATTCTATTCTATTCTATTCTAAAGTATGATGAAACACATCGTGATCTCTAGAATTTTAACACAAAGAAATAAATTTTGTAAGTTATATATTTGAACATTTGTGTCTCTTTAGAGTCTATCTTCACAGTCTCCTGGTTTCCAGCCTCGTATCTTAACCATTCCTACAAACTGGCTCTGACAATAAACAAGGGGACTGTTAAAAATTATCCCCTCTTGGTTTCAAATATACTAGGCACACCACTGCTTTAATTTTGTTTACATTTTACACATTATTGCTAGTTGCTCTGCAACTATGACATTTATGAGACAGAGAAAGAAGGAATTAGTGGTGAGCAGTGAGAAAACTAATCTTTTGGTGATACAAATATTCTAAGAGTCATAATATCAAACATCATTTCTAAATAATTTCTTCATACTGAATGAATGGCCCAGGGATCTTGAAACTGTGGTGTATAGCTGAATGAAAATGCCAACCTAATGTCTGACTAATATTAAAAAATTAAGTAGGCCTGGTGATACTTAGAAGAGAGAAAAAATGAGTAGTACTTAAACTAGTAATTATTAATTGAAATCCTATCTACTTAAAATTATACACTTCTGAGATCAAGCAATTTAGAATAACTTGGGGACTGCCATTTTCACCACAGAAGAGAGAACTGGTTTTACCCTGAGGAGACCCTTCCATATTACATCTTATTTTGTTCAATTAAATGTTGGAAAGCTCTTTCATGTTTGAGGTAGTCCACACACTCTGTAACATTATTTCTGAACGGTAAACAGTGATACAGATATGGCATCTGAGGTTAACCATTAATTTTCAATTTCTTTCTTAATGATCTAAAGATAAAATTTTCAGTTTTCACAGTAGCTAACGTTTTCAATAGTCTGTTCACCAGTTTCCCAAGATCCCTTTCTATGTGATCCCCACCAGCATAGCTCCAATTGATTTCTCTCTAAACTTAGGGTGCTTTTTTGTCTCAGTTTACATTATCTTTACTTTTACTGATATTTTTGCCATTTTAATGCCCCTTTTCCTTGTTTCATGAGATAGTGGGAGTCTTTCACTGTCCCCTTCCAATAGAGATTTCCCAAGTATATGCTTTAATTTCAGGACTGTATATGTATATGTGTGCTATGTACACTTCTACAAGTTCAATTTTTGGTAATTTAGACAATAAGTAGAAAAGAAATGCAACAGTAGGAGTGGATTAATATTTCCAGTTAGTTTACAAGACAAGGACTTTGAAACTGAATGCAATCTTGGCAATTAAGCTATGAATAGTACTGCAGATGCAATGGAAGAAGTAAAATATTACATATCATTCACTCAGATATCATTGAGTCCATAGAGTTAGTTGCACATTTAGTGTTTTCTAACCATTCCGGTGCTGATCCCAACATAAGCTCTCTTCTCAAGATAATTTGAATTAGTCACTTAAGCAAAACTCTGAAGCCCCTAATTACACTTCAGCACTTAAAAGCAAGAACCCTGAATAAATGGCACTCTTTTGATTGGACTTTGGAAACTTTCAGTTGTACTGAAATGTAGCCAAACAAAAAAGCCCATCTTCAGCCAAAATATCTCTTCCTTCTGAAAATTTATACATGAAGCAGTTATTTGTCTTGTTGCAAAGACATGTTTGTTAACTTGAGATTTATCCTCATGAAAATGATGAAATAACATGCAAACCTAATGGTTAAACTGCAGGCATGTTTTAACTGTGCAGACAATAGCTCTGCTCTTTGTAACACTCTTAACTGTAAAATTGTTATTTGTTACAGTTACAGCCAAAACCCTTATCCACTTTTATTTACAGCCAGTGTCATTGATAAAAATAATCAGTTGCAATACCACACAGTAGATAATTATTATATTCAAAAGGATTTGTGACTTGTTATTATTGTAATTACAATACTGAAATTATCAGTAGCTAGTTAAACAAGAATATTATTATAAAAAGAAATATATGACACAAAACCAAAGAGCAAATTTATAGGAAGTTATAGCTTACAAAGGGAGTGACAGGAATAGGGCATTATAAACAATCTCCATTTTGTTCTATTTTTTCTTTTTGTAAAATAATAAGGATTTTTTTTCAACAGAAAGTTTAATTTTACAAGGTTAATATGCTAAGTACATGGCCACCTCAGTTTTGTTTGATCTCTGTACAGTTATTATTTGTTTACAATAAGAATGTTTTATTGTAAGTTCTGTGAAAGGCCAAATACAATACATAGTTTCATCAAAGGTCAAGCCCCATAGAAAATTCATCATATAAATCGCATTAAAAATTCAGATTGGTTGCCATTTTCTTCCTTACAGTCAGTTCAGTAACATTTTTTTTCTTTAAAAAATTAATAAAAATATTGTGATTTGACTATAAAGACTAACTGTTGATGCAACTTACATGTTAGATAGTTGGGGGTAAATTTCAATCACTGAGAGGTGTTGAGATTTGAATATAATAGCTGATGTAATTGCTGAAGTTTGAAGATGTGTCATGCTTTGCCTATGGAAAGATGTTCCAGAAAACTGTATGGTATAATCAGTCTTCTCTTGATTTATTTGCCATACACTAAATAAATAATAAATTTTGATTTATTTAAGGACTAACAAAATGAGTAGGCTAATAGTAAATCGACAACTGTCACAAAGCTGTGCCACTAAATAGCTGAGAAATTTTAATGAAAGAACCCAACAACTCTACAGTTTAATAAATCTCTAAGAGTTGACTGTCTGGATCAGATGAATGGAAAATGTAATTCCTTGACTGAGATGCACATCCTGGCTACCACAGATAATCTTTGGCCAGCCACTCATTCAGATATTTTGATGTCTACTGTCTCTTAGCTGTCTGAAGTATTCATATATATTTCTGTAAAGAGAAAAATAAGAAAGCAATAGTAGTTTTAATGTGTTCAGTAATGGAGATTTAGAAATTGATATTTACATTTTAGTAAAAGACTTAATGATAATAAATTTAAACGTCTTTGCTCTGTAAAGTGCATGGAAATTATGCTTCTATCCATTTCAAAAATCTCCTTTCATAGCTTATTTATGGGTTTACATTTTATTGCCCAAGTACTCTGTTCTTCAGGAATATAGTATTTTCATTTCAGCCTATACTTATAAAACATGGGCTTAATGGTATTTGTGTGGGTTTCTAGTTTAAGTATGGTGCTACTTTGCCTTAATTACAGTCATTAATCAAACGTCATTACATAACATTGCAGAGAGACACCATGGGTGTTGATGTTATAAAATTGCTGCAGAAATAATTTGTTTGGATTGCTGGTTACTTGTACAATATTGTGTCAGGTATCTTGTGATGGGATAGCTTTCTTCAAAAGTGCAAGTAGTTCTAAGATGTGATCCATCCTGAAGCATAATTCATTCCAGTTCAGATTATGCTAGGTTTATTTCTTAGTATGAAAGATTGACTTGTCTTTTGCCTTCTGTAAATATGCTTTGCTTCAGTATTTTTTTAAATATTTGCATAATAATCTTGCATAGAATATTGATGGCATGTCTTCCTTTTTTTAACAATACTTTTTTACTGAAATTTTACCAGATAATACAAAATGAAATAAGAAAAGAAAGGAAAAATAGAAGATGGGGTAGGAAATGCAGAAAATAAAAGATGGAAAGAGAGAAAACCAGAAAGAAAAGCATAAAAGAGGTTATTTCTGGCCTTCTTTACACCAGTTACAAGTAAACATAACATCTCTTTTCCCCTTTAAAGTTACATTACAGAGATCACTTCTTCCCATATCTCTTATCTGCTGATTCCATCAGCAAAAACAGTAATGGTTCTATCCAATTTCACCAAAACATCCTTAAAGGATTTCCAGGATTTTATGAGAATATTTGTTAACTTATCCCTGCTCAAACAAGCTCATTTGATATTCTTTACTTTTGTAAAATTATCTGACATTCTTAATCCTTAATTTGACTTTAAGGTGCTATTGAAGGACATGGTTGACATCCATATTTCCTTCTTCCTATCCTAGATATTTTTCCAAGCTTCAACAGGCTACTTCATTACCTAGCTTGTTTTTCATCTCTTAACTTCATATCTGTATTTCCTCTCTATTTTGTATCTCTCTTATTTTTCAAAACCTCTGTTTTGTTTTACAAGACTTCCACTTTGACTTTATTTTTTTTTACCAGTCCATTCAGTGATCCTACAGATTCTTCCAACTTATTTTCAATCTCAACTTTTTTCTCTTCGTTGAAATCTCTTTTAAGTGATATGTTCACATAAGCATATATTGTTACTGTTATTGTAGCTATGGGTCCGTTAACACGCAGCAGGAGCTGGATGCAGGCTGCTGGCGCTATATAAAGGCTTCTTCCAGACTGCTGTTTTAAGGCCCTGATGATGTCAGAGGATTCTGACGAAAGCTTGGCCCATTAAAGTTTTAAATTTTGTTACATTCCTCTTGGTGCTCGGTTTTGTTGGCTTTTTATCATATATATATATATATATGATATATATATATTTAAAATCCTACAAAATGTCAGGGGCTATGTCTGTTAGTGTGTGTGTGTCTCTCTGTGTGTGTGTGTGCGTGGGTGTAACAATGTCTGTTTATGGCGATCATATTTTTTCTCTTCTCTGAATTGTTGACTAACACTCACTCGTATTAGAGTCCCAAGCTCTTGTAATGATATTGAAAAATAATAATTAAATAAAGTTTGCCACAATTTAAGCACTGTCCTTAATTTTGCCAGATATAAATTTCAGCTTCTATAAACTTTAGGAAAAAGCAGTTCTGCCACAAAAGTGATAAATTGCGTAGTTTTAAAATAATCCTCTTTAAGCAGTTGATTTTCCTTTAATTATGTTAATCCTTATTAAGAAACTATAATTCTGCTAGTAATGCACAGAAAAGCTGCATAGCAGACTAATGCATGAAAAAGCTTGTAGCTAGCATAAAAATGGAAACATCATGCAAATACATGATTGTACAGTATTTTCTTTACATTTAGTAATCCTTATGTATCTGAACAGAATTAAACTGCTGATTAATTACCCTTTTCTATTATCTTTAGGTCCTGAAAAAATAGAATTCATGTGCCCCCTGAATCATATCAAATGTACTGGCTCAAACAGATGTATTCACATGTCTCAGCTCTGCAATGGCATTTATGATTGTCCTGATGAATATGATGAAGGAGCACATTGTCGGGGTAAGTGACTTTGGGGGTATGCAAAGAAAATGCCTGGATTCTTTTCAAAAGAATATCTTATATATTTGAATCTACACCAAGCTAGAAACTCTCCTTTGCCTACTTTTCTTTGTACCACTTAGAAACTGCCTTCCTTGTCAGATTGCACTTCATAGTTCCAATATCTGAGGGTATGTGATGGAATGTAGTAAGCTGGATTCCCAGGCAGGAGGGAGTGCATTACAGAGTAATAAGAGACAGCTCAATTCAGTCATTTTGTGTGAGACAAAGAGGGTGAAGACAGTCCCTCCCTAATAGTTCTCAGATTACACGGTAGATGGGGATAGAGAATGCTTCAATTTGGCAAGATTCTGTCTATAGGTGTGGAACAATAAAGAACTCAGCTTAAAAGTATCACTACATATCTTTTCTGGTTTGGGGCCTGACTATGTAATATTATACATCAATATAGCTTTCTCATTCCAGTAACTATGAAATCTGTTGTTTTTTTAATTTTACCTCTTATCAGTAGTTGTTCATGCCAATCCAATCACAATATTTTTGGTTATTGTTTTTACTGTAATTGCTTCCTTGTTCAATCCATAAACAATATCCTCTGTACTGATTCCATTTTGCTACAAGGTGAAAACATTGTGATCTTTGCTATAAGACTTCTGAAGTTATTGCTTTGCTACATCTTATTATCTCTTCATTTGTTCTACTGAAGTCCTTCTGCAAGTTACCCATCGTCTCTCATTTTAATGTGTACCGGAGTCAGTTCTGCCATTTTCTGTGTCTTCCTGCTCAACATTGTTTTATTCAGAACCTATGTATTAAATTACAATTTTTGTGCTTCTTATTCATGTGTCAAATTCATTTGTCAAGTCTCTTATCTCTCACCTCGACATGTGTACCTTAAAAAAAGGCAATGTCATTGCAACTGTAACTGGCTATCATGATTAAATATTCAGTACTATATTCAATGCTGGAAATATATATTGAAGTCATATTTTTTTCAGATGACCTTCCATGCCTAGAAGGTTAGCTAATATGACATGACAGAATGAATTGTATTATCAGTCTTACAAATTTAAACATAAAACATGTTAGATATGAGAATAACTATATCCTGTACTGTTTTGTAGTGGTAGCAATATAATACTTCAATCTATAAACTATTTCACATCTTCCTTGAATAAAATCCTTTTATTTTAAAAACAATTTTATACAATGTGTAAAACATCAGAAACAGTATTAATTCTTTCTCACCATGATTTTAAGGGGGGGAATCAATTTTCCTCAGGAAGCTACATGAAATAGGGGCACACTCTCCTACCCTTTAAAAGATCCAGTTTACTAAAATGTCATTAGAACAATAGATAATGATGTTTATTTGTTCTGCTAAACTTAAAGTCAAGGAGCTAAATGTTGTAATAGAATATAAAGTGTAGGTAAATATATTTATTCTGGCCTTCCTTCCTTCCTTCCTTCCTTCCTTCCTTCCTTCCTTCCTTCCTTCCTTCCTTCCTTCCTTCCTTTTTCTTTCTTTCTTTCTTTCTTTCTTTCTTTCTTTCTTTCTTTCTTTCTTTCTTTCTTTCTCTTTCTTTCTTTCTTTCTTTCTTTCTTTCTTTCTTTCATGAAATAAATTGCTATTTTTTCATTATTTTAGATGATTTTTTTTAAAAAAGTGATGTTATTGATGAATCAAGGACATTCATCCCTTTCATCTTCATAAAAAATATGGTTACTTTATTTTATTAGAGATTTTCAGTCTTAAGATTTGGTACCTGGTTATATTAATGTGTATATTTGTATATATTGGACATTGCCTATAAAATATTTGTAACTTGCTCATATTTATTTTTCATTGTTGATCTACATATTAGTTTTTCTGTTTAAATAGCAAGTACTATAATGAGCTGAGTTATTTCTTTATTTTTCAGTTTAATCATTATTACAAAATTATTCCTAGCTCTTCTTAATGAATATATTCAAGCTAATGTACCAGCATTGATGGCTGCTTTGAATTCACCAAGCACAGGAAACTACGATGAATATAATGAAACATAATTTATTACCTTGTTTAATTGACACTTTCTATGCAATTTAGCCTGAAATAGCTAGATATTTAAGTTTAGGCAAACTTAAAATGAAATTTATATTCAAAATGGGAAACTCAGAAGATATTGAAGAAAAGCTGATAAAATTTAGAAAGATTATTTAAAAAAACAGAAATACAGGCACACAGCTTATCAAACTATATAGAGAAGCACAGAGATATAAAATCAAATGCCAATCATGCATTTATTCACAATTTTAAATTCTGTTTGCCAAACTGCAATTACAAACTCATCTTTTGCACTGTAAGGGGAATGCTCACCCTGGCAAGTATTTTAACCTTAGCTTTGTTCATGAAATTCTTTAAACAAGTAATCAATAATTTCAAGATGAACTTAACTATAAAATGATACTGCAACAGTCATTATAATCATAATGACAGTCACCCCTATATACTTGAGGGCAGCAAAAATATTGTAGAAAACAGTTGCAACTAAATACTTATTTTCCATGATCAGATAGGAAACATTTAAATACAGTAGCCTCTATGTGCACAACAATACTCTTCATCTATATTTATTCTACTTGAAGTTTCAAGAGAGTGATTAAAATGTAGTACAGTATTTCAATTCTTTCTGTGTGTATTTACATATGTATAATATTTCAAAAAGGAAAAATTAACATCTAGAAAGAGGTTTCTTAGGAATCACAAGATTTTTCTTAAGCACTTTGAAAAAAACTATGCCAGATCAAGAGCATTTGAAAGTCTCCTTAGGTTAAGACAGTGGTGGCGAACCTATGGGATGCATGCCAGAGGCGGCACTCAGAGCCCTCTCTGTGGGCATGCGCGCCATGCCCCAGAGATGGCAACAGTCCCTCTTCAACCAGCCGCCTGCTAACTTGCCGAGGTCCCACATGGCCGGATGCATCTCAGCACCCATGCGCTCGCTGGCCTCTGTGTGCAGGGGCCGATGGTGTCAGGCAGCAGCCGCCCCGGCCCCTGCCTCACCGTGCCCTGTGACAATGGCACCCCTGCCCTACCTCACCTCACCTTGCCTCGCCCCGCCCCACAGGACGAGCCTCCTGCCCACCGCCCCACTTGCCAGAGACCTCCTGGATCTCCCCCAACCCTGCCCGGCCCCCACAGGTGTCCCTCCCCATGAGCAACATCAAGGTGATCACGCCCACCTTGGCCACACCCACCAAATCTGCCATGACCACCACAGCCACGCCCACCCAGTGGGTCACGCCCACCTGGCACCCAGCGATAAATAAGTGGGTTTTGGGTTGCAGTTTGGGCACTTGGTCTCTAAAAGGTTCGCCATCACTGGGTTAAGACATACTGTAGTTTACAATGTAGCATGGAGCACCATTGTTTGAGAAACTCAAACTGTCTTTGGAGCCCAAGTACTTCCCCAAGAGATTAACTTCACTGAACTTGGTGGAACATTTTTTCTGAAAACACTACAGAATTGAATAGTTCATTGTCTTCAGTTTCATTTTCTTTTCCATTTTTTTCCTCCATGTCTCTTCCAAATGATCCATCGTGAGTGAAGTAAATCTGTAGAATAATTTGGTGTTTGTTCAGGTTTGTTATTGACTGCTCCATTCTAAACCATACTTTAAAGGTTTGAAATAAATTGGTATAAATCAAACGGCAAAACAAAGAAATATTGGGATATTGAAAGAAGTCTAAGACAAAGAAACACAACAACAAAAATCCCAATGACTTTCTAAGATCTGTCAAGCTGCACATTAAAAGAAGCTCTCTTTGTCCTAAGGGAGCCTGATAGAAATGTGGTCGGTCATTGTTCTTTAAAGTGTCAGTGGAGAGAAAAGAAAACTTCAATAGGTTCAAAGATTTTAAAGAAAGTTGGGACGGGGTCTCTAAGATTACTTTAACTTTCAGTGCCCGCTCCTTTTAAAATTTAATTCATCACAAGTCTAGCCTGCATTCTAAAAAGTTCCCTATTATCGATCAGTAAAGTTGAATGTCCTTCAAGTCAACAGTTAAAGAAAGTAAGTTTATAAATACAGACTAGGGGTTGCTGAGAAATCTTTCTGATGGTTTCAATGGACAATATTGCTTGAAGAAACAACAGTGTTCTTGATTAACATCAAAGATTCTGCCAAGTACTAACTACAGCTGGAGTGGTGAAGTGATTAAGATGTTGGACTAGGACCAGGAAGATGCAGGTTTAAGTCCACCCACAGCCCAGAAGCTCAATGAGTGACCTTGATCCAGTCACCCTTTCTTAATCCAACCTACTTGACAGGAATGTTGTTGCATGGAAAACTTGGAACACAGTGTGCTATGCATCCTGCCCTAAAAATAATAATAGTATAGTATAGTATAGTATAGTATAGTATAGTATAGTATAGTATAGTATAGTATAGTATAGTATAGTATAGTATAGTATAGTATAGTAGTATAGTATAATAATGTTATATCAAGTGAACTTAAGAAGACTAATGTAATTTTTATGATTCCACTTTTATAATGATATAATAAAAAATGTATGAAGTGATTTTAACAAATACTCCCAAAACATATTTGAACTCCCATGAAATTCCTCACATTTTAAGCCAAATCAGATAGAAAGTTTGGAGGATGGAACATTTCCTTCATTTTATCATCAAAATCAGCTGGTGTAGTGTTTTTTACATATCAGCATTAAGCAGATAATTATCAGTCACCAAAAACAGTTGGGAGGTGCACAGTAATTCAAGCTCTTCTGAATACATGCTGAATTCAAGTTCATTCTGAATACTGCATCACTGAATGCCTCTCACAAGCTCTTTATACATAAGGAACTTACATGTCAAACATGCATGTTAAATTGTTTTTTCCCCTGATATTCTATCTTTCACAGAAGGGGAAATTTAGATACTGAAGAGGCATGGTATCTCTCAAGTGTGTTTTAAACTGGAGACACAGATTTGGTAGTATCCTAATTAATATA